AATGACGCGGGATGCCCATGGCGGGGAGACCCTGAGGTCTGAGGTGGCTCAGCTGGAGGAGCATCGAGACTCAACCCGAGGGAGACAGGGCTTGTCTCGTCGGGCCCAGACAGGAGGCCCTGGTGCTGTGCGGTGACTGCACCGCTCCGCGGTTTCTGCCTGCTAACGACTGTATGGCCGTCACGCCGTGAACCTGTCACGCTGTGAGCCGTCTGGTTGGTGTTTCGCTCCAGGCTAGTAGCTACGTTGCAGGCAGTAGGCACAGAAGAGCACGGGTGGAGCAGGAGAGTGGTAACAGAGAGGGCTCCCTGGACGGGGTGCGCTTCCCACTGCCCGGTGGTGCTCCCGGCTCCTTTGTGGTTCTTCCTGCAGGAGAAGGGGAAGCGACAAACTGAGGCACAAGGTTGAGAACAGAGTGGTGGAACCGTTTCTTTAACTTGCCAAAGCATTCATGTCAGATGTCCTCAGAGAGCTAAGTTTCTGTTTGAAATGTGATACTTAATTATTTATTTAGGGTTCCCTGAATTTTGTGGATCTGCACTGACAAATGAGTTTAGAGGTGTCCTGCTGTACACTTGTGTAACGGTGTAGACAAAAACAAGAGACAGTTTGACTCATTTAGAATAAAAGATATCCTGGCACACCAGCTGAAAGCAGAGCGAGTTAAATTCAGAGATTATCTGAATATTTGTATCTTGCAGTATGCTTGTATGTGAAGTTTTCATGGCAGAAAGACCTTGCAAGCTAGGGTGGTCTCAACAGTGTTTTCAGTTTGGATAGTCAGAATTGAAATCTTTGTTGCTCTTGCTGGCTAGTCAGGTTTTCTGTTTTCAGTGAGTTTTCATCAGAACAGATGAAGTTCTGGTTTCCATGAACATCTGAACTCACAACGATTTTGACATGGTTGTGCTGTAGAGCCAAGTTTCAACTCCATATTTGTTCTTCCATTTTTTGAAGAGGACAAAGTTAAGCTCCAGAAACTGTCAAAACCATTCTCAGGTGACTGCTGCTGAAAAGTAATTTCTTTTGTAGAACCCCAGCCAGGTGTGCTTAAGGTTCCTGAGGCACAGGAGCCTCTGATGTATGTGGTGCAAAGAGTCCAGGTGGGATCCCTTTGCTGGCTTAGCTGGAGTGACTAAACTGGAAAAATACCCACACATGGATGTTCTGTACCGGTGTAGAAAGTGTCAGGTGCAGTAGCAGTACAACTGGGCTGTGGTTTAAGATTATTTGTGCAAGTTTCTGGCAAAAGGTGTAGTTTTATATTCCTCCCGCCTCCCTTGTCCCTGATGTTTGTGAGGCTGCACAGTGAGCTAAACCAGGGACCTTCCCTCTCCAAAAACAAACCCAGCAAAAAGGTTCTCATGTCCAAGGGATGCATCCATGGACCTGGTGTTTCATGTGGCTGCAGTGCTTGGTCCAGCGGACCACAGGTGGTATTGAGCATAGGTTAGGACCATGGCACTGAACCTTAGTTGTCTTAATACCAAATGAGACAGCCCAAACCTTGCTTGCTTCTGCATGATTCTCTGCTGGTTAAGCTCAGCTTAGAGCAGTCACAGACCTGCCCTAACCCACGCTGGCCAGACCTGTCCTGTGCAGTGGAGACTTCTGGTATCTCTGTAGCCTCTCTCAGGTGAACCAACTGCAGTCAGTGGTGCTGTGTCCCTGTTCCTTGCACCTTCTGTCAGCTTCTAGCTCCTCAAGGCGCTGTTTTGGGGACACAGCAGGGATCTTGCCTTTGGGCTGTGTGTGCGCTGCTGGTTAGGTCTGGCCTGCCTGTGGGGAACTGCTGCTCAACAGCTCACTTTGTGGACTGAGGGTCGCTGGGGTGTGCTGTCGTCTCGCCATAACACTGCTGTACTGGTCAGAGTTGTTGCAGTGTTGTGAGAACTTCTGAGCTTTCCTGGAGGTTGGCTTCACTAATTTATCAGGCCAAATGTCACTGTCACTCTCAACGTCATTGTACTTAGTCAGATCTTTTCAACATACATGAACCCAGTAAATACCAATACCCTAGGAGAGGCTGATGCAGAGCTAGGCAACCTGCCCATGCTGCGGACAGTTGATGTTTTCTGTGCCTGTTGGGACCCCTGTGAATGCTCTGCAGATGCCTCTCTGGTCTCATTCACAAAGAATGTGTATCCTGGACAAGGTCTCTGATTTTTTTTCTCTTAGAGAAGCTGTAAATGAATACATGGAGGTCTTCATGTGGAGAAGAAAAGGTGCTTTTTTTAGAGGAGGTACTGTCCTTCAAATTGTACTTTCTGGAAGTTGTTCTGGTTTTGGCAAGTGAATTAGGTGACACAGTAAGATACTAAATCTTGCTCCAGACTTTTCTGTGTCCTCAGAGTATTAATGGTAGTGTGGTTTAATGTCTGTTGCAAAATTAATCTCAAAAAATATGGATAACAATTAGCCATGTTCCCAGCCTGAGTCTCTGCTAATGCCCAATTTAGACTGGTGCCAGTGCCTTGCTATTGCTGCTTTTGACCATCACTTCCATAACAACTCTACTGCATTTAGAAAACAACACCTTTTGTCAGAGAACTCCTTTTCTTTGTAGTTAATAGCATGTGATGTCTGATAGCAATCCGCTGACTTCTTGATATTTTGAAAAGTAAAACTCTTAAATCTAAACTTTATAGTTACGCTTTTAGTGAAAAAATTACTCAGTTGCAGAAAGGCTAGATATTTTAAATAAACCTTTGAATCAGTCTTATTTCTGCCTTCACCATTTGCTGGCCTCATGCTATTCTGATGTAGAAAAATGCAGGCAGGCAGCAGAGCTGCTTGAGTAGTCAGATTATTGGGGAATGGTGCTATCCTTTAGAATTTGGTTTAAAAATTCTGCTCCTGAATACGCAGTCTGAATGTCATCTTTATGCTGCTTTTGGGTGGATGCCAAACTAGATAGCTATCGAAGGCAGTGTTACAGAAGGAGATGAGGAAACGGTACATCTGTACCCTGGAGAAGGTGGTTGCACTTCAGGACTGGCTGCCTGTTACAAAGTGGTAGTGTAGCTGGGGTAACATCTGTAGAGATCTTAGGGGAATATTGTTGTAGTTGATAAGGGATGGAGATTGGAGGGAGTTGTTACCATATGTTGTCCTCTTTAACGAGGGTTAGTGCAGTGACAGAGTGTAAAAGGTGGCTCACAGCTGGTTGGTTCACATGTGTGAGCAGGCTGCCAGCACTTGACGCAGGCTGTGCTTCCTTTCTCAGTACAGCCTGTCAGACCCTCATGTTTTACAGAGCTCTTCAGCTGATCGTCTCACACCCTGAAAAGCAAACTACGGTGTCTCAGAACCCCCCAAAAAGTGCTGCCAGTGAATGGACAGAAGGAGGCCACGACATTGGCACAGTCATGTGGGAAATCTGCAGTAGAATTTCAGAGTAGATGCCTTTCCACTTACTCTTGGGTGCTGTTGTCTTTTTTTTTTTTTTTTTTTTTCCCTCTTTCCTGCAACATTAAGCAAATATCCTCACATGAACAAAGCAGTGGGTTTCATGCCAGAGCTTGATTCTTCTTTTTTCCCAGACAGGAAAACCACTGAGTTTGTGCACTGCACTGCAGTGATGGGACAAATCACTCTCAAGTAACTTCTAAAAAAACCACTGATGTAAATACACTTAACTGTGTGATTTAAGTAATGCCATCATTGGATCTGTGAAGTACACAGCTGTTATAAAACAACCACCTTGCATGTTAAAAAAAAAAAAAAGTGAATTAAAAGATCATGTGGTCTGTCCAGCAAATGTACCAGCTGTGCATTAATTATGCCAACGGCCAAGCAGGAGAAGAGTCATGGTCTCTCGGAAAAGGAGTTAGAGAAGTTAACCTCTCCAGAATAAAACAGCATGCTATTTTTTTTCTACTTTTTTGTGTATTAGGGGCTTGAGAATAGGCATCTGCAAGAAGGCAATAAAAAAATATAACACTGCTGCAGATTCTGTGCAGTGTAAACAGAAAGCCAAGCTAAGTAACGGTGAAGCTGTGTTTCTGTGAGGTTAGGGAATGGAGTTTAGCTGGATGCGCAGAGATGTAATTTCTTTTACTGAATACAAATGTTTCTGCTTTGCTCTGCTCCCCTGCAGGTCAGTGTTGACTGTTGCTTGTGAACAGACTGAAGTACTGCTTTTTGACCCAATATCTTCAAAGCACATCAAAACTCTCTCTGAAGCTCATGAAGACTGTGTAAATAATATCAGGTAGGTCAGAAGGAATAAAAGATCTCATATTTTGTCTTACCATAGATGCTTTTCTTATGACAGCGTAAGTTTGTGTTACACGCTTTCTTGGGGAGAGTGGGTTTTGTGAAGCCATTAGGCTGCAGTTTGCTTTGTGCCATTTTCCTTCTCTTCGGTATTGGAGGTGGGGAAAGGCTGGAAAGGGGAAGAGGAGAAATCTGAAAGTGGTGGTGGTAGTATATAACGCAGGTGGTTTTGCTGATGGAGGAGATGCAGTTTATGGGAGGGGAAGAGTGTTAAGATATTATCACCTGTTTTAACTGGCCTTTGGAATGCCCTGAGTGAACGCAGTAAATCAGAGCATGACAAGTAGTGTGTGATTTATGTTTGAAGTGCAAGTCCTAGACCGTAGCAAGATCAGATATTTATATGAATATGCCTGGTATTTTGAATCGTAAGAATAATTGTCATAGTTGCATAGAAATTTCCAAACAAAGATTGGCTGCTTTAAAGACAGGTATGATATAGAAGAGCTGGGAAAGTGAAATGGCTTCCGCAATTCAACTTAAACTCAGTCTTTATGGTTTAAAACCTTTGCCTGTTTCTCAGGATGGAGTGGGAAACAGCAAGTACAGGAGCCTAAATCATCAGTATTTTTGTCATGTGATATTGTTCCTTTTAAACTCTATTATTTTTAGCTGTTCTGGGTCTGAGGATAGACTTCACACGTGAACTTAAGACACTTTTTAACCTTGTGGACAATATTGCAGCCTCTCTTCACTCAGATTCTCAAAGCAAACCCCCCCCCCCCCAAAACCCAAACCAAAAAACCCCAAGAAAACTGTAGAAGCAATCTGAGCATTTCCCCTCAAAAAAGCTGAATAAAATGTAGGGTGCCAGTGTCTTTACACGTTCTTCAGATAAATTGCTGTTTTTCACAAGCTGCCTGTCCTTTTTAGAAGAGACTGAAGTTTTACATCAGTTGGATGTCTTTCAGAAAAGCTAAAGTAAAAGCTGGGGCTAGCTGGCACAAATAGAAGAGGAGATGTTTGGAACGTGCTTTTCTGTAAGGAAATAAAACTTCACGTCTTGCATGCCAGTGGTTGTTCTTTAAACGTGTTTAGTTTTTATATAAAGCTAGGTGAGAAATAAAGCCATGTTATCAACATATCAGAAGACAAAGGCAACCCGGGTTTATTTTGATTTTTGTACATCTGTAATTCAGTATCTGAGCCTTACATTCAAGCTGCTCTTGCTAGGGTTTCAGGTGAGTTAGTCTGGATCATGTTTTACAAAGAGCATTCTGTTGCAGGCCCCTTGACTGGTTGGCTGTCTCTGTTGTAGTCAGCTGTGCTGGTCTTGAAAATTTCTCTCATTCCTTGGTTGAGAACAGAATGGAAACTTCCTGCCACTCTCTTGTCTTATTCAAAGGATCACCTTTCTTTCCACTTTGGCTGTCTGTGAGGCTTTGTAAGTCTGTTTTTGGTCCTTAAATGTCTTTTCTCTGTCTAGTTTGATTTACATAAAAATACCAGTACTACCTCCAAGCAGATAACTCTCAGATCTACTGCTAATCACCAGACTAAGGTCCTTCCTAGCAACGTGTAGTAAACTTTCTGCTTTCCTTCACAATGCTTCTTAAAGCTTTATTTTGTCTTTGTAGGATAATGTCATCTTTTTCTGTGTTTTTGTGCAGATCCCCATTTGTTTGTTGTTATAAACTTAGTTACAAGGAACTTAACTATGTTCTGTAATACATGGTTAGTACAGCATTACCTGGACTATTGTTTCTGCTTAATGAGCAGGACTCCAGCCACTATACTACTACAGAAATGCCTTGTAATAAGCACCAAAAATAAATACCATTGCTGCTGTGCCCTATAGCACGTGCCTCAGAGGTATGTATGAACAGGGAAGCATGTAATGGTCCTCTTCCAGTAGTCTCCCAGTCGCTGGGGATTTGTGTGTAGTCATCTGAAGCAGACATTTTTTTCCACCTGAATTTGGTCAGGTTTTGACCTTACTTAAAACTCTCCCATCGCAGAACTCCATGGCACAAATGTGTTTCAAGGAGTATTTAATAGCGTTTTTAAAACTTGCTAGCTTAGTTTGCGGCCCTCTAGGTTTTTTTGTTTTCTTAAGTAGGAAGACAAGGAACAACTAATCTCTATTTACTTCCTCCATGTCAGTCAGTTTTATATGCCTGAGTCATATGTACCTTCAATTAGCTGTTTTTCAAGTGAATTCTAGTCTACTTGGTCGTTCCCTATATGAAAGCTGTTCAATACAATTTGTATCTCCCTGTCTATTTTTACTGAAACCTCTTTGTGGTGGGTGAAGCAGGGTTGCCTGTAGCATCCAAGATAAAGGCAAATGATGAATTTATACAGGCAAGAGGTGTATTCTGTTTTACTTTCACCCTGAAAATCTGAAATGTTGTATTCTTCCCACTGTAGTTGGTTATTTTTCATTGGAGTTGTTATTTTAACATGATGTAGCATGGTTCTAAGTCTAAAAGATAAAATGCTGTTTCTAGGGGTAACTTACCATATGTCTCTGTAGATCGTTCTTGCCTTAGTATTCATGTGCAGCTACTTCTGGTGGTTTTCACATAGGTTTTATTTTCCCTTTTATGTCAGGTACAGCTTTTTTTCCCAAATGCCTTCATCAGGCATGAATTCCAAACATAAAACACTATGCTTCTAAAAGCAAGGGCATGCATAAACTGTGGTGGGAATGGAGTATGATAAACTTCGATTTGTGTAATGCAAACCCAGATTTTCTCAGTGAACTAAATAACTTGTCTAAGTACGCTTTCAAACAAAGCCTTGTCTTCACTTGGTGTTTTTGAAAAGTCTTGCATTTGCTTCAGTAACCTTTAGTCTCAATTTATTCAATTTATTACCTAGCTATGCCTTTTTAGTGCTGATTCCAGCCTTTCTATCCCCTTCTGTCTGATGGAGTGCTTTTACATCAGATATTCTTTCCTTCTGTAGTCACTTAAAGGTGGTCAAGTTGCCTTATACTACCTCAGGCAGGAGTGATATATACCTTGAATTTTGGCTGAAGACTGGAGATTATCATGATAAAGAATTACCACCTGAACAGGCTAAGTACTTAACCTGATCAGTGTAGTAATCCAACTAGTATGACCGTATTCTTTTCTACTTTCTCATCTTCTCCCGATATGACATTAATGATGAGCCTGTCATCTGTTAAGAAAGCAGGCACTCAAGACCTGCTAAGTGCAGAACAGACACAGTGCATATGGAGCACTATGCATGTGATATAAATTCACTGCTGCATAAAAGTGTACTGTAGAACTGCAGGTCTGTAAATACCTTGTGAAATACAGAGCAGTAGGCTTGCTCTTCTTGCAGTAGTTTGAGTTAAACAGAATTTCATGTTATATTGTGATTCAAACTCGAATGACTCAAATCCTCAAATGCACATCTGTATTGAAGGAGTCCATAAATTTGGATAGCCTGTGCCACTTGTGCAGCTGCTACTTCCAAAGATGATCTGAAATTCTCATCCTAAACAGTGCTCTGCACTTGCACTTTGATATGCATACCTGCTTTTGTGCATTTGAAAAGCCCAACTTCATGTGCCTGCTTCAAACATATGAACTGTACTGTGGGGAAAGGAAGGGCAGAAACGTGGGAGCAAAAGCCCCTTGCTTTTTGTTGGAGACTGTTGAGACTGTCCAGGTGGTTCAACTGCAGGAGGTCTGCATGGCTCCTCCTGGCTCTGCAGCGAGTAGTGCTCCTGGGGCATTGTGGAGCTGGATGGGCTCTGCAGCAAAAGATGGGCAAAAGCGGAATGAATTAAGGGTCGAGGGAAATGTGCAAACAGTGGCAGTGTTCAGATCTAAATCTAGTACATGTTTCCAAGATGGTAATACCATGTGTAGTGTAAGCCGTGTGGCTAGTAAAGCAAGCCATACATCAGACAGTTAATCCAGAAAAGTACTGTTGTATGTTCCATGTAAAACCATGGGGCCAATTTTTCAGCGTGCTCAGTGCAGGCATGTGGTGCGCCTCAGGCATCTGTGCAGAGCTGTGGCCACATCACAGAGTGGCAGGAGGTCTGGTTGGAAATGGCCTCTGGAGATCCGTCATCTGTAACAGCATTCTGGTAAAAGCAGAGCTTTGGGTTGCCTCACTAGCACCCCGATAAGCCTGGCACTGAGTGTTTCCAGCATGGGAGGTTTCACTGCTATCTGTGCCAGGCTGGCTAGGCAGGGTTTTTCTGAAAGCAGGTCCCCGTTGATTGACTCCTATTGCAGGCTTTGCGACGAGCGCTGTGTTCTGCCTGTGCCAGTGGGGTCAAGATCTGGTGAGAGGTTTTGGTCAGGACTGACTACATCGGATGCCGAGTGACCATGTGTGGTACAGAGCACTGTCAGGCCTTGCAGAGGAGCAGGTGTTCGGGCACTAGCTAAAGGAGGCTTGGACACCACGTGTTTCAGCTGAGCTAGCGGGATGTGTGCTGTATGGAGCAGCAAGGTTTAAAAGCAGTAGGGGGCTTCCAGTAGGAATAGCAAAAGGTGATCTTCATTTTAAAAACCCCCTTTGAGTGCAAGGAGCTTATGTCTGCAGTGGGGAACAGAGGAAGAATGAGGGTGGATATGTGGGTGGAAATGAAGAGAGTAAAGAAAGGCATGGGTTTAATTAATTATGAGCTGATAGAATCTTGTATAGTCTGAAATGAAGGCATCTTCTGGTGCTGCCTGTCTGTAGTAGCGAAAGGATCTGGCAAAAATGGGGAAGATGAAAGGCATAAATTACAAACAATCTAGCGTAGCAGACCTCTGTTGCAGGGACTGCCAAACCAGTCAATGGGAATGTCTTGCCAGTGGTCTAAAAGCTGACCAGTCCTAGGACGTTTGTGTCTTATAAAGACTTGGTAAGTTTAAAGCTGAGTATTGTCCAGATGGGTAACTGATTTAGTTGCCACAGGGATTCTGTGTGAGCATTTGTTCCATTGATGGTTTGGTGGTTGTGTGATCTTTAGGTGATTCATTAAAAAAACAAACAAACAAACAAACTTCTGCTATGCTTCTGCAGGTTTACTAGTTTGCTACTACAGTTGTGCTACTGGTTCATATCCAACAGTACTGTTTTTTAATGGAGCTGTTTTATTGGCAAATATTCTGCTGTATGTTAATTTGTGTTTTTTGTGTGGCCACTCTATTTCTGTGTTAGCTTAAATTCCTGCTTAGGAATATTTAAATTAGAAAAGGCACTAAGCAGCCACAGTATTTCTCTCCCATTTACAGGTTTCTAGATAATCGACTGTTTGCGACTTGTTCTGATGACACTACAATAGCACTTTGGGATTTGAGAAAGCTGAACACAAAAGTGTGCACTTTACATGGTCACACCAGCTGGGTTAAGAACATCGAGTATGATACCAATACGAGATTACTAGTAACATCAGGGTTTGATGGAAATGTCATCATCTGGGACACAAACAGGTATGTGGCTGTTTGTGCTGTTATGTTTCTAGAATACACAAGGATAGGGTTCTTCTGTACAAGATGAAAAACCTGCTTCCTTGAATGGAGCTATAATGCATTCTTAAATACTGTGATTAGTTTATAGCCCTTATCAAGAACTTGCATCATCTCTATATGGTAATAGTCCAGTAACTAAAAAGAGAGCTTTTCTTGCTGACATGCCAAAATGTAGTTCTTCCTTTTTGAAAAAGTTCTGTCTTCATTGTTGTGGTAGTATGAAAATGTGACTTCTGCCATTTCATTAAAATCTGATTTAAGTAGGTAAAGGCAGTACTCAAAAAAAGTTTCCGGATGAACGAGGATGCTTAGCACATCTTGGACTCTTCTGGACATTATTAGGGACTTGAGTTGAAGCTAATTGCAACTATTTCTTGTGCTTTTTTCGCTGTCTAGGTGCACAGAAGATGGATGTCCCCACAAGAAGTTTTTTCACACCCGTTTTCTTATGCGAATGAGGCTGACACCAGACTGTTCCAAAATGTTGATCTCAACCTCCTCTGGATATCTTCTGATTTTGCATGACCTTGACCTAAACAAATCTTTAGAGGTTGGCAGCTACCCAATTTTAAGAGCTAGGAGGACTACATCAAGTTCAGGTGAATGCTTGTGGAAAAGTCTGTGGCAGCTTCTGTGTTAGAAGTGTTTTATGGGATACTCCTAGCTAGTAAAAGAAGGCAGAGGTGGAGTCGGAAGGATTCTGCCAAGGAACTCTTCGGCACGGTAGCTGCTCTGTTCAGAGGTCACATGCATCTGTACTGTTGAGTGGTATGTTCTGATTCAGGTAAAGTGTCCAGGGTGATTTTTGGTATCAAGACTTCAGCACTACAGGATATAGTGCCTGTGGGATTTTGTCACCTTGAGCTGGCAGTCTCTAGCTTTTTTTATCCACTGTCCTTGGTTCTGTAATAAGTGAAACTTAACCCATGTTGAGTGGGCTGACTGTGTGTGAGCTCCAGCAACTACTAATGACTGTTCTGTAGCAGCGTGGCTGCTCTTGACAGCAGACCTGCAAGAATTGCCTGCTCTGAAATTTCACTGCTTGCTTCTTCCTACTTTCTGTCAGTATTTTGCTCTGCTACTGCCACAAACTCTGCCATTTGGGGTGTCAGGATATAAAGGGAGTGGCCTGGGGAAAAATTCATACCCCAGCTTCTAGTAGTGAACAGTATTTAAGAAGGAAGAAATGCAACTTGCCTCATATTCCCAGTAGAGTTTGTTGTGCTGGCAGTTTATTTCTATGAGGCACAAACAGAATGGTGCTATAAACTGAGCTTTGAAAAGTGTTTTCTTAACAAGATGCCTTACTCTTACCCTTTACTTAACATTTCTAAGGAGGGTTAAGTGAGGAACATGCATAGTAAGTGGGCTGTGCTTAGCTGTTATGTTCACGTGGCTGATGCTGTTTGCAGACATAACATCATCAGGTTCATCTGGTCCTCGAGCTGTTGGTTCACCGTGTCACCAGAATGATTCAGGTCCACTGTCTGAGAAACACATGTCACGGTCCTCCCAGCGAGAAGGTAGGAAAAGATTTAAAAAAAATAAAAAAATAAAAAATCATGGACTTTGACTCATTGTATCCAGAAGAGGCTGGAGTATGATAGTGAAAAACTGTGGTTTTGTCTCTGTGACTTTTAAATGAATAGTGTTGCTATGACTTCTGTTAAACCAGTAAATATCATTGCACACCAAAGTCTGGGGATCTAATCAGTTTTTTTCCCAAGAAATCTGATAACAGCAACAAGATCTTTATTTTATATTAGTACATTATTGTTGTTATGTAGAGATGCTCCCTTTTCCTTGTGTTTTTTTTCCTCAAAGTTTGTGTGAATGAACTTCAGGGGGAAAAAAAAAAACCAAACACCAAACCAGAGCAGAACATAGCTGTTTTGCTTTTTGTTTTCCTTAATGATGGGAATATATATGGGCAGTTTCTCCATGAGGAGTCAATACTGTAGAAAAAAGAACAGGTCTTAAATGTGGACAGTGTTTTGTGAAGTTCTGACTACAAACCAAGTCCTATGTAACCTTCACCTTTGTGAATCACATGCAATTTAAAATAACTATAATGTTAAGTTTTAACTACTCATGGTTGTGAGATTCTCAAACATACTTATGAAAGGAGGAGGCTTATCTGGATGCCAGGGCATGATCTACCTGAGAAAAGCTTTCTAGGGCTGAGGAGGAGAAGGGAGGCAAGTTGCATACAGCTGAGCAGACTTTGGAAGGAATTTGGAAAGGACGTCATACAAGTTTGAGAACAAGTAGTTCTTACAAAAAAACCCACTCTTTAGTCTCTGTTTTAATGATAATGAAGAGCGTATGTGTGGAAAGCTAACTCCGACTTAGTTCACAATATGAGGTGATTTAATGCAGGTCTTGGAAGGCAAATTTCAGGAAAGAAGTTATTTGAAATCAGGACTGAGCCCATTGGTATTAGCTTCAGTTGTTTGTATAGCCTCTGCTTTGAATTATCCTTTCATAAAGGTGCAGTCTTTTCTAGCAGTCAGATGCAAGTGTGACATATTTGACCTAGTTTTAGCAGTAGACTGATGAGAGGTGTGAAGATCAATGTATAGACTTCATTGAGACTTACAGTTGACTTTCCCTTCTAGGTGGATCACCTAGAAATAGTTTGGAGGTCTTAACACCAGAGGTTCCTGGAGAAAGAGATCGAGGCAATTGCATTACATCACTACAGCTACATCCAAAAGGGTGGGCTACGCTTCTTCGGTGCTCAAGTAATACAGATGATCAGGAGGTAAAAGAAATACATTTTTTTAAAAATACGTTGAGTAAGATGTATCGATCATACAACTATATTGAAACTTCCTTGTTTTGGGGTAAATTTGCATTTGAATAAATTAGTCAGTTATTTCTGCTTACAAATACATTAATTTTAGACCAAGATTATTAAATTCTTTTTTGTTGATTTTTTTAAATGATCTCTTATGACTCTGTATCCTGCATTCAGTATTGCTGTTGCCCAGCTCTTTCACAGAATATGTCTTATAGTTCACAGGTCTGTTAAAAGTTTTCAAACAGTAGTTGTGCTGCCAAATACATGACTTAAAAATATCTACCTGCCAAAATATAGGATGCATAAGCTTGGAAAAGGTAGAGGATTAGGGAGTTGTGTATTGGTGAACATGGTTTAAGTTGAGCAGAGAAGCTCCTCTGAATTCCTCAAGTGCCTTTGGAATGTTTTCTACCTCCATTGGTGCTCCAAGGATGAAGTGCTCCTGCTGTGCTGATGAATGCTTTCCAGAGACTGCTCCTACACTGCTGTGAAAAAACCTCATGGCATATTTCTGCATCTACTTAAAACTGCCACACCATAGGTCTGAATATGATGAACTCCAGTGATGTTCATGTAATGTCAAAGTGCCTTGGTCTCAACTGTCATCCTAAAACTCTGCAACTTAAATATAAAGAGGGTATCAATGATTTTCCTGGCAGAATCCATTTCAAGCCTTTACTTGAAGCACTAAGTCATAAGACCAGGTACAGTTCACCTGCAACTTGCAGATTTCATTCCCCTAAATACTGCTTTAAAGAAGTAATGGTAGACTTTAAGGCCAGTGTTGGATTATGTTTCCCCAGATTCTGTTTGTGAAGTGTCACATAATAGCTGCTATATTGCACTGGGACCCTGTTTTAAGACAAACAAGCAGTCTGTAATGCACTCAGAAATAATGAAAAAACTTCTTCATGGACTGTATACAAAAAGCAAGAGCCTGCAGGTTGTGTTTGGGAGCACCTGCTTTTGAAGAAGTAACTTCCAGGTTAACTCAAATTTACTTATAACTTAAAGCCCAGCCAGAGCCTTCAGAGCACTTGGATTCCACCAGATGATCCTCTTGCAAACACCATTTTTTCCTAGGGTTATTTAAAAATTATTGCTGTGACAGTTGTGCAGACCACTCTGTTTTCAAGACACAGAGGTTTTGTATTTGTTTTGCAAAACCACAAAGAATTATTTGAATACTTGACCAATAATAAACAATTTAGTTAATTTGATAGCCGATATAAATTGGGGTTGGTTTTGCATTTGTTTGGGTTTGTTTGGGGTTTTTTGAGGGTTTTGTGGTTGGTTGGTTGGTGGTTTTTTTTGTTTTTGAAGAAAGCCACTCTTTGAAATGGTAGCCTTTTAGAGATGTGTAGAGGACTGAATGGAAGCTTAGCAGATTTGTTATAAATTTTAATGCTGGTTTTGTAAATTTATAATCAAACCACTATACAACACAGAATTTTTTGAAAATGCAAATATTATATTGGGTTAGTTGATACTGACAATTGACCTACTTAATTATTTCCTGTAGTCATAGTGTCTGCCTTACTTTCTTCTATTAATATTCATTAGTATTGTTCCCTTTGTGTTTATTTCAGTAGAATACATGGAACAGAACTAAGAACACTTATTTTGTCTTGTGGGTGAAACTGAATCTTTCAACACGATATAAACTTTGTCATAGAGCTGTTTTTGCATTTGGTTTGAGATTAGATAGCTAGATTATACATTAGAATCCCTGGCTGTCTCACAAGTAACAAGCTGGCTATAGAGTTGTTCATAACATTCCTCTAAAATCTATTTCCCTCTTGTTTCAAGATTTCTTTCATTTTGAAGTTAAGGGCACAAAATGCCTGTGGTCAGTTGTAAATTACAGTAGGCTGAGTTCTACTTTATTGTAGATTTCATTTAAATGTTTGCTAAATTAGAGCAGATACCTGGCCATTAGGCTTTGCTTGTTCCAGATAAAAACTAGATTTAAAAGATTATATCTAGCATCCATTTAATTAAAAAAGCAGCTTTGATCCTAGACAGCTGTTTTGCTTAGTCAGCTCAAAGTGGAGGAGATGCCAAGGAACTGGCCTGTTTTCAGTGTTTCATAGTAGATGCTTACTGAAGAGTAGATAAGCAAGAGCATTGGCCATTCCTGTGTTACTCATTGAACGTGCAGCAGGAGGGAATGAGTATTTGCAGTGCTTTACTTTTCTTTCAATGTCCCTTTCTCTGCCTCTCCCTTTAGTGGACTTGTGTCTATGAATTCCAGGAAGGAGCCCCTGTGCGCCCCGTCTCGCCTCGTTGTTCCCTGCGATTGACTCATTGCATTGAAGAAGCCAATGTGGGCCGGGGTTACATCAAAGAACTTTGTTTCAGTCCCGATGGCCGGATGATTTCATCCCCGCATGGCTTTGGGATCCGCTTGTTGGGGTTTGATGCACACTGCAGCGAACTTGTCGACTGTTTGCCCAAAGAAGCCAGTCCCCTGAAAGAAATTCGTTCCCTCTACTCTCACAAGGATGTGGTACTGACAACCAAGTTTTCTCCAACACACTGTCAGATTGCCTCGGGGTGCCTTAGTGGACGTGTTTCTCTGTATCAGCCAAAGTTCTAGGCACATCTTGCATCAACAAGACCTTCAGATGTTTGTGGTTTTTACTTCAGTTTAGTTGAAGTGTGTTCTTTCCGAAACCTCTAAATCCAGATAAGATCATAGTTACTATGATCTCTGAACATAACAGTGGAACGAATTTCCAGCACAGCACTGTATTCATTCTCATACTGCATCCACAAGTCTGCTTCCATGCACTGTGTTTTCAGCCTTCCAAGCAGACGTCTGCTCCTGCTGATCCTGTGCCATCGAGTCATTGGTTCTGGTTTGTTTGTACCATAACACTTGTTGATAATTTCCTTCAATGCAACTTGAAGTGGACTATTTGAAATAAATGTAGAGGGGACAAGGGTAGCAGTTCAGCCAAAACTCGCCCAGGCTCCCTGGGTACGACACCTCCTTGTTCCAAAGGAGCTGGACTTCCTCACGTACACTTCCTTGGCCTTTTCTGTTGCTGAAACTACTATATGGTGATTATTAGATAATGAGCTGCTTTTCTACATAACTAACACAATTAGTTTCTGTCACAAAAAGAAAATTGTGTTTTCATTTATATATTAATTTGGTTGTTTGTCATTGGCTAGCAAAACGAGTCAACTTTCTGTAATGTTTTGCTGCAGTTAAAACATTTTGTTTTCTGTGATTGCATATATTGTGTTTATATATGTGTAAGAGGTTCTGGATGGAGATGTAGCTGCATTTTTTCCTCAGAGAATTTAGTAGGAAAAGACTGGGGCAGGGAAGCAGGAGTTGAATGGGTGAAGACCTTGCCCTGTAACCACTGCAGACGAACTGTTTGGATGTTTCGTACAATGGGGGTGTCCTTGGTCAACCTCTCTTGGGCAACTTTGACTCCTCAGCCGCCAGGGTTTCTTTTGTAGGGAGCTTTCCACATCAGTAACATTAAACCTTCATCCCATGTTTGAAACTTAACACTGCAGAATTTTCTGCTGATGTTAAGACTATATCCCACCTGACTGTTCTTCCACTCCTCACCTGCACCATTGCTGTGAGAGGAATTCTTCATAGTATCACCAGATAAGCCTTTCTTCACATGTACTGTCAGTTTGGGAATGGATTAAAAGCATGCCTGTCTACAGTAAGATCTATTTGGATTTAAGTGGGCTTATCATAAGATGTGGAAAAACATTAATGTTCACCATTAAATCACATACTAAGTATGAATGCCAAGTTTTAGCCATCAAGTTAATATAGCTAACCTTGTGAATGCACAGTTATTTCAGTCTCGTATGTCCATATCAGTTTATAATATTCTCATCACTTACATGTTCCAAGATCTTTTTTTTTTAGTATTTCACTAAGGTTTTG